TAAAGATAATTAGTTACTCAGATTTGTCACTGGTAGGGATATGACTTTTGATGATGAGTATAATACTTTTGACAACATAATATATTAATTCCCAATGTAAGGTTTAGAAGCAATGTTAAAACTGGACTTACATGATGAAGTTGATAATCATGCCGTGGTGGATTTGTCTCTCTGTGGGTGCCTGCTCTCCCCAAAAATCTTCTTCCAGTGCTTGATATATAAAAATAATAAAAAATAAACAAATCTCTTATCATTAGCAGTTATCAGTTTTTTAAGAGGTGATGTCAAAATATTTAGAAACGGGCATCTACTAAAATATAAGAGATTTAACGTTAGACCAATAACATTTCTCAACTCTTCTGTAGATTCCAGTGTTTCAGAGAGTAAATGACCGTTTTATCAGTCAAATCAAGTATATTTATATAGCGCTTTTCACAATATATCAGTCACTTTACTCATTTGGATTCTACTTCCCTAGTAAATAAATAAATAACTTCTACCAGAATATATTAGAACACATTTCATACTAATTATACTTCAATTTCATTAACATAATTATTGACACATCACCTAAGAAGACTTTATTACACAATGAACATTTTTATATATATATACATATATATATATATATATATATATATATTACGACAAAAAAATAAAGTAATAACGTTACCACTATTAAGTGTACCAAAAGTATGCAATAGTTCCACTTTAGCACAATCAAATACACTTACTCAGAAGCACTAACGTTGCTTTCAGATAAATATGGTTAGCTAACGTTACCCGTTATGTTAACGTTACAAACACAACTGCAGGTAACTTAGTAGCCTACGTCCGTTATCCGTTTATAAAACTCTCGTATGTAACGTTAACGTTAAGTTACACAGAACATTTCTGGGTAGTTAATGAACTCCATTCACATACGTTTTGTTTATCTGCATTATATATTCAACCATGAACTATATTAACACTCTCATCCACTTATTTGAATGTAATACCTAAACGTTTATATTAGTGGATCTCAGTTTTTCTAAAATGATAGTGGAGACAGAAAAATGTTCTCTTACCTGATCGCGATTCGCCAATATTGCAGGATCTCACGCATCCAGTCTGAGCGTCTTCTGTGTATTCACATATTCTGTTCTCCTTCGTTTACATGTCACATCGCAAATTAGTTCAAAATAATAATTGAAAGACCGAGTAAGTTAATCTTGCTGAGCAGCCGTCGTCGTCATCAACTCAAATGTATTTGATTTTTCAAACTTGACCAGTAAAAAGGCGCGCACAGTTGTCATTGGCCAGTTACATAGATGACAGTCAGATTAACCAATCATGATCAAAGAAGGTGAAACAACCGAAGTTACGACGTCACTCTGTAGGCCAAAACGCAGAAGTGAATTTGCATTTTAGCATTACAGTTCCCTCGCTCTAAAGCCTATGGGTTTTTTGAATGGGTTTTTGCTAAATCTCCTGAAATAAGGTCTCTGGTGAACAGAGCCTCTAAATATTTTCACGTTTTGATCTATGACATAGAACACACAATTATAACCCGCGTGTGTTTTTTTTTTTAAAAACTTTATTGTGTCTGATTGTGTTTTTTAAAATCTTTATATATGCTTCAAAATGTATATAAATTTTGGATTAACTTGTAAAGATTATCTTGCTAGACAAAACGTGTAAGGGTCACAACTCTCATTTAAACACAGATCTTATTTTTTGCGATTTTCCAAAAGTCTATGGGGAAAATGCATTGCTTTTTTACCGAGGGAACCCATGCAGCGCTAGCTTCCGGGTTGTCCTACAAAGTGACGTCATCACTTCGGCACACTATTGTTTCAGTGGTAATGATTAAAAAAAAAAAAAAAAAGTGGTAATGATTTTTTTTTTTAAGAAATCCGTGTTTAATTTAATTTGTAGGCTATATTATTTGATTACTGTTTTTATGAAAGTGTGTGAATAAAAATGTAATCCTGCAAGCTAAACTTTAGGCACACACACAAAATTGTAAACCCCAAACAAAATCGCACAAAGCAAAAAAAGTTTATTCTGCACTTGTTGAGATTGAAATTATATCCATTATTTTTATTATTGTTAATAATATATTGATTCTATTTCAACACAAATTTATATTTTTGAAGTGGTGTTTTGATCAAAATATCATAAAATGCTACAATAATAATTAGAAATTAATAATTAGAAATAATAATAATTTAAATGTTATGGATTTCTTGAAGACATGACATTGATTCAACAAACAGATAAAACAAATTCAACTGTTTAGCATTAAAATGTTACATTGTGTACATTGTGTGCATTCTGTACTCGCTGCAAATGTGATTTTTGAATTTAGTTTTGATTTTCCCTTCAAACACTGCATGTTGCATTCTAACTTTTTTTACTTGGGCTATTTCATCATCTGGACTGAGTCTCTTTCAATAATCAAAACCCTAACCCTAACCCCAATATTTAAAATCTCTAGAATTACATTGTCACTAACTGACTGACACGAAAACTCTTGAGTATTTCCATTGAATAAGGGCATTTGGCTGATGCTAGGGGTTTGATTTATTCTAGCCATCTCAAGTCATTAGAATATTTTGATAGATAAGTAGCTTCTGTAACCCGTTCTTCATATTGTACAGTGACCATTTTCGGGATATTTTGAACCATTTGTATAACTATATTGAGATAAGCATATTGCAGTAACTCAGAAGTTTGCAGTAACAAAATTAAACCACTAAAAGTTGACACTTTGAATATTTAGTGTCAATGATTAGGGTTGGAACTAATATCTGCTGAACGCCAACACTCCAGGACTGGATTTGAAGAGCCGTGGCCTATACTGTATCCACATACCAATACTGTTGCCAACAGTATTGGGACACCCATCCAAGTTATTGAATGGGGGTGTTTCGATCACTTCCATGGCCACAGTTGTATAAAATCAAGCACCTAGGTATGCAGGTGCTTCTACAAACATGTGTAAAAACATAGGTTGCTTTCAGGAGCTCAGTGAATTCAAGCGTGGTACCATGATAGGTTTCCACCTGTGGAATAAGTCCATTTGTGAAATTTCCTCACTACTAAATATGGTCAACTCTTAGTGGTATTTTAACAAGGATTATACTGTAAATCATAAATATACTGTATATAAATGTTTTAATGATTGCACAGATATGTTTTTTTTACAAGTGTATAGTTTATGAAGTCATTTACAGATGCACAATTTATATTTATTCCATAGTTCATTATATTCACAATTATACTTGTATATATTTCCGCATTAAGGATCCATATAGAGATTACTTATGTGGAAACTACTTTGGGCCCATGTAGGCAGCCTATATGGGACTGCTTGTGTTTGCCCATATCTGACCCATGCGGTTTATCAAAATGGGCCCCATATATTTTTCACATTCAGAACCCATATAGAGATTACTTATGAGGGAACTACCTTGAGCCCATGTAGGCAGCCTAAATGGGACTGTTTGTGTTTGCCCATGTCTGACCCATGCGGTTTATCAAAATGGGCCCCATATATTTTTCACATTCAGAACCCATATAGAGATTACTTATGTGGAAACTACTTTGGGCCCATGTAGGCAGCCTAAATGGGACTGTTTGTGTTTGCCCATATCTGACCCATGCGGTTTATCAAAGTGGGCCCATATGTTTTTCCATTCAGAACCCAAATAGAGATTACCTATGAGGGAACTACCTTGGGCCCATGTAGGCAGCCTAAATGGGACTGTTTGTGTTTGCCCATGTCTGACCCATGCGGTTTATCAAAGTGGGCCCCATATGTTTTTCCCATTCAGAACCCATATAGAGATTACCTATGAGGGAACTACCTTGGGCCCATGTAGGCAGCCTAAATGGGACTGTTTGTGTTTGCCCATGTCTGACCCATGCGGTTTATCAAAATGGGCCCCATATATTTTTCACATTCAGAACCCATATAGAGATTACCTATGAGGGAACTACCTTGGGCCCATGTAGGCAGCCTATATGGGACTGCTTGTGTTTGCCAATATCTGACCCATGCGGTTTATCAAAGTGGGCCCCATATATTTTTCACATTCAGAACCCATATAGAGATTACCTATGAGGGAACTACCTTGGGCCCATGTAGGCAGCCTAAATGGGACTGTTTGTGTTTGCCCATGTCTGACCCATGCGGTTTATCAAAATGGGCCCCATATATTTTTCACATTCAGAACCCATATAGAGATTACCTATGAGGGAACTACCTTGGGCCCATGTAGGCAGCCTATATGGGACTGCTTGTGTTTGCCCATATCTGACCCATGCGGTTTATCAAAATGGGCCCCATATATTTTTCACATTCAGAACCCATATAGAGATTACTTATGAGGGAACTACCTTGAGCCCATGTAGGCAGCCTATATGGGACTGTTTGTGTTTGCCCATGTCTGACCCATGCGGTTTATCAAAATGGGCCCCATATATTTTTCACATTCAGAACCCATATAGAGATTACTTATGTGGAAACTACTTT